CATTTAAAACTAACACGAGTCTCTATAAGTGTCCAGTTTTAGGGTCTTACACAGAATTATACCAAACAACATGAATCAAACATGCACTTTATTTATTTACACTAAATGTCAAAAGTACATCAAATCGGATTGAAGCTAAGGGCATACAAAATTGTCTAACAGCGTTGGCTAGCTACCATGTGCCATTTGAACTCCTTGTGTGTTACTCCTCTCTTGGCCGCAGCGAGCTGCACCGCTGGGTCCAGTCGTGGTATCTGCAAGCACGTGTCATTGAACTGCTTGATTTAGCCCCGGATGGACTCTCCTTCCCTCTGGACTACTCCGAAGATGCTTTCCTCGGTTCTGGGGCACCGCTTGCTGGTAACGAAGTGTGTAGTGAAGACCTGCACGATCTGGATCCAGCTTCTTATTGACCCGGGGGCCAGGTTCCTGTACCAGGTGTGGGCCACCCCCTTGAAGGTGGTGGTGAAGGCCATGCACATAAACGATTCACTGGCCCTAGCTAGATGCATTTGGGACTGGTAGGCATCGACGTGGTCGTTGGGGTCGAAGGACCCATCATACTTGTCTAAAGGTGGGAGCTTGAAGTCTCTGGGCATGGGCAATGCAAGGAGTTCCGATGAGAGGGGGGAAGGAACTGAGAGAATAGGGGCAGCTTTTACCTCGTCCGAGCTTGTCTCTTCTTTACCTCTGAGCTCGGGCAGGACACGGGTGGCAGTTCGGCGACTTCACCGGCGTCTGTTGTTGAGTGGGCCTGGTACTAGCACTGCTGGCCTCTGTGTTGCCGAGCTCGATGGGCCCGGACTGATGGTAGTCCGCCGCTAGGACGCTGAATCAGTTCTCTGTCAGCGGGAGCTCAGACTTGGAGTGCCGAGGTACTGACTTGGCGGGCGAGCTGCGAGGCGGGGATGATTTTTCTTTCCCCTCGGCCCGGGGATGAGGCCTGGCTCTTGGGGGTTCTAAAGTTGGGAGGCTTCTCCTCGGTGATGGCGTCCACCCTGAGGGGAGGGCTTAACCGGCTTTGGAGCTGGGTGCCGAGGTGGAAGCTATGGTTGGTTCAGAGGCAGTTGGGGGAACTGCTGCTGATAGTGATACTGAGAGATGTGGTGCAGTATTGGTGTTGCTGGAGCTGATGCTGCTGGAACCATTGCATTTGAGCTTGCATTGCCCGCATGCATTGCATCAAGTCATCAAACTGGTTCTGGCTGGTCGCCAGGGGGACAGCAGTTGGTTCGGTAAAGGTTGTTTCGAAAGGGAGAGGAAAGGGGACGTTCATGGCGGGAAGGTTTACAGGCGCCACTGTTCGTGGCACATTCAGGCTGGGGATCACATCCACCGGAAGGGGGATGGTGAACTGTCCGATGCACACCACGAGGACTTGAAGTTGTTCCCCGGTGGTGTTCATCTCCATGTCACGTCCGGCATTGCTGGAAGAAGCCATGAGTGTTGGGTTTTTTTTTTTGGAAAAAAGGGGTTATGAGAGTTTTAGAGGGAGGCTTTTAGAAGCGTTTCCCATAGACGGTGCCAATTGATGGTGCGCAATCCGGCTGGTCCTAGCTGTCAACGATCTTGCCTCAGGCTGGTGTAGAAGGTGCCTGAAACGGAGGAGAAAGCAAGTAATCTCCGGGGAAGAACCCGGTGAGAATGATCCGAAGCTCAAGTTAGTATTTCCTCAAATGCAAGATAAAACCAGATGACCCAAAGTTATCACATACCTCGTTCTTGGGGGGAAGAGAGCCTTTTATAACCACTTCGCGCACTCACTCCTAAGCTTCTTTCAGGTCGGGTATGATTACCTCTGTGCTTCTGCCAGTTCAGGTGTCATCACCTCTGCTAGGGCAAAACTGCCACTGCTCTCTTTGTCGGAGCCATCTCTGTAACTGGAGATGGCGGTGGCAGGTGGCGGTGGTAGGTGGTCGTTGAAGTGCGGCTGTCAAGCGTCAGATCCCAAGTCAGTTAGGTGTGCCGCCTCAAGATACGAACTCCTTCGGTGTCAGGTACAGTACGGTTGTTCAGTTCGGCATCCTGGAGGCGAAGTGCTAGAGTGGTGTTCGAGGTGAAGTCTTGAGTTCAGATAGAGGTGTGGCCCGAACTACCATGGGGCGGGCCAGTTCGAGTTATTGCCCTTTGTGTTCGTAAGGCTCAGGGTCTAAGGGAGAGCTCGGGCTCCTTGTGGGGAGTTCGAACCGCGGGTTCCTCTTTTCCGAACTCGCGCATTGGGCGTACTATTGTGTCGAGTTGTTGCCTTTCCACGTGTTGAATAGTTACGAGGTCGGGCCAATTCATCACTAGTGAACTCCTACTTGCTGCATTCATACTACTGTTATAAATTTACATAGCATATATTATGTTTTAGTCCTATTTATTTTAAGAACCTCTTGTTTCCAAAGATTTTCTCCTCCGTAAACTTAACTTTGCATTTAGTCTTTCATTAGTTTCATCAATTGATATAATGTCGTTAGAAAATAACACAATTGTACCTCCTTTTATCTATGATTAATATACAATGTATGGATTTTGATATTCTATGATAATGATTCTACTAGATTTCTTATATTTTGTGGTAAAAATGTTTGTGGACCTACCTCCATGCTCTTACAATAATGATTACTTTCAACATTATAATTTATAATCCTATCAGGCTGTCCATAAATCAAAATATTCCATCGACTGGGTTTATGAATCCATTACATCTGCTTGGCGTAGAGATTTTCTTTAAATGCATTACCACATTTTTGAGTATTTCAAGTTACCTTTCTTTAAGAGATAGAACAGAATAACCCAATTGAGTTACCGAGTGGGTATCTTGCAAGTTACTCATCGGAGATGAATGGCGTCTGAAAGGAAAGAATCCTGGGCCATTAGAAGCTCAGGCATTCGAATAAAATTGAGTTCCCAGTGTATTTGATCATGTTTTAACTAGCAACTTGATGCATCGAATCTAGGATGATAAAGCTAGAGGGAGAGAAGTAGGGAACATCTTTGCTGGCCTGCATTTTGATATGTTCGTTTTCCAATAGCAAACCTACTAGTATTACTCTACTAGTTTCTACGACCTAACAAGAACTCCAGGGAAAATGTGGGCTGCAGAAAATTAAAATGCATGTCAGGTACGCAGGAATGGGATTTGAAGAAAAAACAACGTTTTATTATCAGATGGAGAAAATAAGCAATCCAGATCTACCATTTCATGCGGCTGAGAGAACCATCACAGCAGGCACCAAAGCCGAAGGCTAGAGCCTGAAGCAAAATACAATACTGCAACTTAACATGATATGTTAGCTTTTCCTTTCCTCCTATTTACATCTCTAACATGACAATCTGTTAAAACGCACACAGATTCTAAGATACACTGGGATGGAATCGCAGGGCATCATAAAGTTGTAGGGACAGAAAGAAAAATGGGTGTTATAAAACTTTAAAATTAGAATCACTTGTAAGCATACAATAAGGCAAGGAAACATCAAAGCTGTTATCACCTCCGATGAATCGCCTACCAGAAAGTCAAGATTTTCAGGCAACGACCACCAGGTGCGCATGGAAATTATCAAAACATGATTGGGTGAATGGGTGAGGGCGTGGTAACGTTGGATGCCAAGAATCTCAAGACCATGCTTGGCCCCATTCATGAAAGCATGCTTTCAATCAACATTATAGAGGATTAGGTGCAAAATAGCACAGTTCTTTCATCTTAAATGCGAAGTGACCCACTGACTGGATCCCGACCAGAACTAGCATCCTTGTGTTTTAGGGACAGGTTTGCAAATTGGGAATCCAGGTCTCGGCTGTTGGCACGACGATGAGTAGAAGGTGGCTGCTGCGGTTGCAGTTGCTGTTGCTGATACAAGGTTCGAAGCCTTGCGATCTCCCTCTCCAGCATCTCCTGCTCTACTGAACCATCACCAGAACCAGAAAAGGTCAGTCATTTCCCTAAACAGTAGTTGTAACCTACATCCAGTTAACATCTGCATGAAACTTACCGAATATACTAACCAGTCCTAGAATTTTTTATTGAAAATTTGGAATGACTATACAAGTAGTTGTAACCAGTGTTTTAAGACTCAGACCAGACTAAAAACCAGAATGTTCTACAGGTCCCAGTTTTACTGTTAAACCAGGTGGCTTGCCCATCCAACCCACCAAAACCGTCATTTAACCAGGACCTGGAAAGGCCACCAGTTCCCAATATCCATGATCCAACCATCTGGTCCAAGGCTGAGACTTAAACACTGGTTGTAACAAATAAGATGTCTATTTCTTTACCATTTCACGTTCCTATAAATGTTTGCTGTCAAACACAAGAAACAGATCCAATAAAAGAGTACAAATCTAAGCAGTCAGGAAAAAATAATACTTACAGTACTTGATGAGTTGTTCCTGTGCCAAACTCTCTAGCCGTTGTTTCAGGGCTTTGTTCTCCATGCTCAGTATAAGATTCTGCCGGTCAAGAAATTCGATCTCAGCTGAAACTTCAGACCCTTCTGCCTATAAATTTAGAATAGAAAGTTAATATTGTAAAAACTTGAAGGGTTAGGGTAAATAACTCCATCTGCGTCACATAAAAAAAATTTGAAAAAAAAACCCATCTGTCTCCACTAACTTCTATTAGGACTTGCCTGTAAAGCTTGGACATTCCTTTCAAGTTCGGCTATGTACTGAAGTTTTCGGACCCGTGACCGTTGAGCAAATTGCCTGGCAATAAATTGCTTCTCAGGTTACAGATACTTTGACATGTACTAGTAGCAAACTTTTCCATACCATAGCACTCTATTTCTTAGCATTCTAGAAGCTTTCAAACTGCAAACTCTAATATTCTATGTTTAAGGTTCTTTACAAAGATCCAACTTGAAAACATGTATAGAAAAGGCCAACTTCTACATTTCTATTACAGAGATCCAACTTGTATCAATTAGGTTTGGAAAAGGGAAAGAACGTATACTATACTTCAAGCTCAGAGTTTTTAAACATCTCAGCAAAAGCCAAAAGAGAAGGGAATAATTACATGGATTTTGTAATATGTAACAGAAAGCAAAAAGTGATGAAATAAGCAATGTATAATCAATAGAAAATCAGATCTTTGTACCAATGTTTTAAAACCCAGACCAGAAGTTGAACCAACTTCCCCTTCGAGTCAACAGGTCAGAAGTTCAGTTTTAACATTTAGGTCAATGGGTCAACTTGTGATGTCATCTATATTCATATCTATATGTATAATTCTATACTATTAAAAATACTAATGAGCTTGTGGAACTTTTTCTTTTGGAATAAAATTCCCTTATTTTTTAATTTGGTCCCACTCTAATTGTGAGGGCAGAAAATGTAATTTGAACTACTACTTTTAACCTCATTCAATTCCCTCTCATTAAGTTTTATACTCAAGATTATTAACTCCCTTTTTTGGTAAAGCCCTCCCCATTAAATCCTATAAGGTATTTTTGTCTCACTACTATTAAAAATATGAATTATGAATGAGCTTCTTGAACTTTCTTTCTGACTCAAATACACCTACTGGGGGCAAAAATTGTAATTTGAATCATTACTTTTCACCTCATTCAATTCTTCCTCATCAAGTCCTATATTTAAGGTACTAACTTCCACGATTACTCATTAAATCCTATATTAATATAACAGGATTTAAGCGCATGCACATTTGCTAGTAACAATAAAAGTGATGAAAAAAATAAAATAATAAAAAACACTATATCCCTTTATATGGTCAAACAGGGTCAATGGTTCAACCCTGAACCATCCAGGTCACTAGACCATTGACCAAGTCAAGAGTACATTGTAATATGACAGATTAGAGGTTTGACCCAAACTGGAATTATGAGCAGACACCAAGTCACCAGTCTAACCAGCCAGGTCAGCAATGGGTTGAAAACATTAAGGTTGTGTTTGAGAGTGCTTTTTGGCCTAAAGGGACTTTTTGACAAAATGTTTGGCTGGTCACCAGCTTTTTTGTTCAAAATAGCTTCTCGCAAACGTGACAAGTCAAATGGAGTTTTTTCTGCTTTTTTCAAATGGACATTTTTTATGTAAAGAAAATATATATTTTGAGCTTTTCACCAAATGATTTTTTGACTGGCTTTTGGCTTCCCCAACGTGGAAAGCACAATAAGCCCATTAGAGAAGCACCCATAAATACGGCCTATCTTGTACTATATTGTAGCTTATGATTTCAGCTTTAGTTCATTAACTTCATTCTAAAAAATATAGCCATTAATTGAACTGTTCAAGTCATTCATATAATGATTCATAGTAAAAATGCTTCACCATAGAGCATATTCCAGCAATTTAAGTAAACTGGAATGCATAGATATGAGTAAGGGCATGGACATTGACACAGGAAACAGGGCCATGATCTCCATTTCTTAATATCCAAACGCATACAGAAGTGCAATGATCACATTTAATATGAAGAAACCATGATATATGCTTAGTTTTTTCCTCTTCAAACCAAGTACATTATTCACATAATATTTTTCAGTCCAATTTATCAAATATAACATTTAGATAATGAGAATTGTAACTTTTTAAGTGAATTCTAGAAGTGACTGGCCGTCATGCTCTTTGTGGGTCTCCTAGCCTATGCTTGTATCAAAAAATTGTCTGTGAGCAGGCACCAAGCTTGCATTTTATTAGCATGTGTTGATATATAATATATTATAGGGAAATTTATGGTTTGACTCCAATCATAATTTTTTGTTGGTTTCCTGAATGCATCGTCTCAAACCCCCACCTATGCTACAGTACCCTATTATATTGTGATAAATTCCCCCACCTGTCACTGTTCCCAACTGTACAAACTCATAAAAAATTATAAAGTGGAGGAATCAATAAAACCCCTATATTATATGTTACTTCACTTTGTTTCATGGTTTTACTTTTGAAATATAAAAGATCCAAGGATTTTCAGAAGTGAAAAGAAAGAAGGAATGAAGGATAAAAGAGGATTTTTCTTCTCTACAACTATTCTCCCTTCCTTACATTAAACAGAACAGAGGCTCCAGCCCTTGTTCTTTTTCTCTTTTAGTTACATAGTTACACTTATCTTGAAAGTTTATTGGTATAAAACTGCATACTTCCATGTTGCTAATTCGGCATAATAGTGCTCTATTATACTACAGTATTTTCTACAAGTACTTGTTATACTATATATCTTTGAAACATTGAAATTTAACATGTTTAACTTCAAATCTCTTTACTACTCAAAAGAATGCTAATCTTTTTTTTATAAGTGTCAGATATGATCATTTGTGATATTTTCAGAGAAAATTAATGATATTAGTAAAGTGCATTGCAACATTTTTAATTAATATGCATGCTCGCGGGTGATAAAAGTAAGGAACCAACCTAGAATTTAGTCTCTTCTATTTTATAAAATTCTATTGCCTAGGTGACACCTAGCACCACCTATGCAACTAGGTTACTAGGTCCACTGTTGTCTAGAAAATTACCCACAATTTTAGCAACTATAATTGTACATAGGGGTCACTGCACTGAGTTCACTCTCACTAATCCAATCTCTGAGAGGACTAAGCTGTAGTTAGAAGCTATTAGCTGCTGCGTTGCCCAGATAGAGATAATCGAAAATGGCTTTCTCTAGATTGCTAGCTTCAGCTCTTGTGCTGGTATTTCCTTTTCAGCTTCTCAGAAGCCAGAGAAATCTTGGTTGGCGGAAAAACTGATGCATGGAAGATCCCATCCTCTGAGTCCGACTCTCTGCACCGATGGGCTGAAGCAGCTCGTCTCCAAATCGGCAACACACTGGTTTGGAAGTACAATGCCAACAAGGATTCTGTACTGTGAGTGACAAAGGAGGCTTACTCCAGCTGCAACGTATTGAGCACCATTGCTGAGTACAAGGATGGCAACAGCAAGATTGCACTGGACCAATCAGAGCCATTCTATTTCATCAGTGGAGCCAATGGACACTGCAAGAAGGGGCAGAAGCTGATTGTGGTTGTGCTTTCTCCAAGAAATGGGTTCATTAGCTTTTCTCCGGCAGAAATTGAGGGACCCGCTGTGGCTCCGACAAGCAGCGCTACAAACTTGAAGGGTGGGCTGATGGTTGTACTTGGGCTGTTGGGGATGGTTTTGTTCTGAGAAGTGATAACTGGGTTTGGTGGGAAATTTCAAGTTTCCATCTTCAGGGGATTATTTATTCATTTATTGGTTATTTATGTCGGGAAATTTTGGGGCATGAGTTTGTTATAGTTACTGAGATTATAATGGGATTTCTATAGATTGAATCAAAAAATTGTACACAGGAGTCATGGCAATGTTTACTCTTCTCCAACAAAGTTTAATTTCATTGTTAGCTAATAATTAATACATTTTTAGCTAAAATCCTAATGAAGGGCAATTTGTTGAGAAGGGAGATGAGTTTAGATGAGACGAGGTGTGTCTTTTGTAATGTTGCTGAGGAGTTAACTGATACTGATCACCTACTGCATTTGCACCTTTTCCTCTTTAATCAAGAATAGAATTATGGCCAGATTTGCGGTGAGAAGTTGTCCAAGTTCAATGGAGACTTTCTTAAAGGGTTGGAATTTAGAAGGCTTAACTTAGAGAGGGAAAAACATCTGGACTATAATTCCAAAAGCAATCTTCTGGGTGATTTGATTTTGGAAAGAAAGGAATGGAAAAATATTCCATAATCAGCATAATTCTTTAGATACAATTCTTCGAAGAGTAGTTGGAAATTCATGGTCGACTGTTCATAGAGGATTTAAAGGAAAAAATTATAGTACCTTTTAGGGCTTGAGAGTCTTTTTTGTAAACAGTCAAAGGTTAGTATCTTTGTAAACTATCAAGGTTTTGGATTTTTCTGGGTGTTTTAGGAAGGTTTTGGTTTCCCTTTGTACATCTTCTAGCTGTACATGGTTTTGTTAGTAATATAAATATAGTTATCTTTACTTTGTTTTTTCTCAAAAAATACAATTTAAGATAACCACTCTCCACCTCAAATGAACTTTGGCATTAAAAAAATGCTTGAGAGAGGGAGATCACAATACAGATTTTTTCCATAGGTCAACAAATGCCAAGGTCTAATCAAACTTGACTACAAGAATCAGAAGCAATAACAAATTAACAATCTTGTGGAAGATCCAGATGCTAGAAAAGAAAAAAAAAAATATGTAGTGGACTTTTACAAAAACCTATACAAAGACAAATATGCAAAAAAAGATCCACACTCGATGGGTTGCAGTTGTCCAAGATTTCTGATAGCCAACAAGCTCTCCTTGAGGCAACCTTTACAGAGGAAGGGGTCTAGGAGGAGGCTATAAAGAGTCTTGATGTAGATAAACTTGGCTATAATGGTTTCAACATAAATTTTTTTTACAACTTCTGGGATATTATCAAAGCTGATTTGCTTCATGCACCAAAAAACTTCCACAATAATGGCTCCTTTAAAGATGTTTGAATAATACTTTCATAGCTCTAGTCCCAAAGAAAGGCAGGGCAGAGGACATCAAAGATTTTAGGACCATCAGCCTCATGGGCAATACCTATAAGATCCTACCCAAGGTTCTTGCTACCAGGCTCAGATGTCTTTTTCCCAGTGTTTTAAAAGAGCAAGACACAAAAAAAGTGCAATGGCCAATTTGCACCTGAGGCACAAGGCGCAAAAGTACCAAAAAAAATGCTAACAAATTAAAAAAAATGTCAGAGAATTCAAACAAAATGCA